GAAGATTTTACTACAAAATTGGATCTTTGTTTTTCCTTGTGTTATTTAAAGAAAATCTAATTTGTGAAGATAGTTTTTTTTCTTTTCTTTTGGAAGAAAATCTAATGTGTTGTGGATTTTGGAGAGATTTGGATTTGGTGATATTGGTTTGGGGGAATGAAGATTTTCAATACAAAATTGTGTCTTTTTTTCTTTTCTTTTTTCGCTTTATTTGTTTTATAGAAAATCTAATTTGTGAAATTAGGTTGTTTTTGCTTTGAAAAAAATCTAGTGCCGTGAATTTAGGAGGATTATTTGAATTTGCTGATATTGGTTTGGGGGATGAATGATTTTACTACAAATATCATGGTCTTATTTGGTAGTCAGCGGTTAGTTGTTAAGGGATTGCGAGAACTGTTTTGACTAACGGATTGTGTTAGTTGTTTTGACCAACAGTTAGTTTTAGCAGTTCCGTAAAATATTATTTGGGAAAATTAGCGGATTGATTTTGAAAATATATATTTGGCACTATTTATTTGATAAAATAATTTATAGAAATAATTATAAAGTAATATACATATGTTATATTTATATAATTATTTTTAGCAAAAAACAATTTTGATATGATTAAGTATTTTAATTAAGTTTTCTTATTTACTAAAAACAAAGGCAAAAAATAACTAATTAAATATTAAAAGTAGCAAATGTAAATTGCTATTAAATATTAAATTGATGTTTGAAAACAAAATAAAAAGTTAACTTATGAGATTAGTTTTTATTGAAGTAAAATAAACCAGGTAGAATGTTAGAAATGTTGATAACTTCATACATTTTACATTCAATGCAACACAACCGTTCACATGTTCTCATTGATTAGACCAATAAATATTTTATTAAGGTAACAAAACGCTAGTGGAAAACGCTTCATTTTTTAGCGTTACAAATTTGGTTTTTTCATGAAAAAAGTTGAAGGAAAAAGCCATGCAACCAAACAACCTTATAATTTTGGCGTTTTTAACTTGGTCAAAATCGCTAAATTAGCGATTTGGCCAAAAACGCCAAAAACAAACAAGTCCCATAATTTAAGCATTTTATAATTTACAAGATCTTATCATACGTGAATGTAACGACATGCCCGAAAAATAGATTATTGACACACAAAATATAGACTTATAAAACTAAGTGTTCTATAATTTAATAAAAAATCTTAACTTATATTGATATCCTAATTTTGTCAAAGAATTGATAATACGTGACATCATTTAGTAATGGTTAGAATTATGAAACCCCACATTTATGATGTGTGATTATGCAATTTACGAATCACTGTTATATATTGTTGTATATCTGCCGGATAAATTTGAATTAGTATGAGTTGTATGAATGTGATGCAAACCGGAATTTCAAGTGAAAATCGAATCACGTGAATGATGGCGGGAATAGTTAATTTTAGTTATGTATGTTAAGTATTTAGATAGAATTAGTATGTTAGTTTATAATTTAAATATCTGAATGGTTAGTTATAATTTGAATATTTGAATGATAGAGATTTAGGCTATAAAAAGTCATGTACTCATTATTGTAAAAAAAAAGGTTTAAATTAATAAAAATTAAGAAAGAAGCTCGTCTACCTGAATTTTTAAATTAGTATGAGTTGTATGAATATTATTTATATTTATTTATGGTTATGCTTAATCTCTACATTTTTTTTTTCAAAACTATAGAAATACTAAAAATAATTATTTTATGGTATGTCTACCTGAATTTTTAAATTAGTATGAGTTGTATGAATATTATTTATATTCATTTATGGTTATGCTTAATCTTTGCATTTTTTTTTTCAAAACTATAGAAATACTAAAAATAATTATTTTATGGTATGTCTACCTGAATATTTTTTATATGATAAGATAATATAAAGTTTAATTTTTAATTTTAATTTTATTTTATAAATAATTTAAAATTTATTTGTACAAATAGATGAAAATTACTTATAAAGTTTATATGTGATATTGATGTCAAATCGAAAATTGTCAAAATATAATTAATTTGATATAATATATTTGAAAAATGAGATACAAATTGAAAAGTTATTAACTTTTTAAGATATAATTGAAAAATAAAAATATTATATATAATAAATAAAATAAATGAGAATAAATAATATTATGTAAGGCTTGATGCCGGAATGAAAGAAAATGGCAAAAATAAATGCACGCTTACCAAAATTGCAAATACACTAATATATGTCAAATATCAAATTCCATAATGTAGAAACAAAAACAAATGATAAAGCATAGAACTAGATCACGTCATCATGTGAGATGTGCGAATATGCCATTGTGTCTCAGCATGTTTTGTATTAATCTATATGGGTGATTGGATAAAAACAATGTTTTAAGACCTTAGATTGATCGGACAAGACAACCCAGAACTAGTCCGATCTGGATATTCGGACCTGTGAAAAAGCATATCGGTCCCAAACTCGAATGGATCTTGTAAGAACTTTACTTGAATATAGATCTGACCAGTGCAACCCATTTAATCATCTCCAAGTTTAACTCAGACTTAGCTCCCTCGAATATATCTTGTCTTTACCACTAACCTTTTTCCTTTCTTAACACTCTCATCTCTCGAGAGAAAAGTCCCACATCTGATTCACTTGCAGCGCATAATTCATTTATGTGATCTTGATTTTTAATTACATTTATTTGAAATTAAATTTTGTGTATACATTTGATGTAGGGACGCATACGAGTGATATGATATTAATGAGATCGCAATTTCAAGATATAAAATCATCTTTTCATTCAATAATTCATAATCAACTAAGTAACATAAACTAGAGGGACTTTTTATTCAATAATTCATAATCAATCAAGTAAAGTATAATCCATGAAAATAATAATAAATAATATTTAAATTAATATTTTTTATAAATATTATTAATCTAAGTATATAGTTTTAAATTTTAAGTAATTATACAAACATATTTAATAAACATTAACTAGCTTATCAGCTATAAGCTATCAGCTAGCTTATAAATTACCAGCTAGCTTATTTTACCACCAAAATAAAATAGAGGAAGTGTTAACCCTAAACCTTAACTTTTGCCAAAAACTCATCTCTATAAATATATGCAATCTTACGTTTCGATTTTAGAAAATTTGTTTTTTTTTTTTGGTGCAAATACAAAACTAGCTTTAACATGACATGTTTTCGGTTTTGTCCTTCGCAGACAGAAACATTATCGTACTTGCTCAACAAGGTGATAGGGTGTCATGTACCCAATTATGGAGATGAATCGGGTAGGGTGAAGTGAAGGGCCTCTGCTTTATATATATCCGGGCTTAGTTAATATTATGTTACTTTAGGTTTATTAGTAGTTTTATTTTGGGCTTTGTTATTAGTAGATGTAATTGGGCCTATTATGAGATGTAGTAGTTACTAAGTGGGTTGATGTTATTAGGTTTAATTAGAACCCATGAGTGGTTATTAATAGGGTGAAAATAGGGAAAATGAGGTAAGGTTTGGATGTCAAAAATTATCTCTCACTCTCTCAATTTCTCTCTCCTCCCCTCACGTGTTCTATCCTTTCTCCCTCCCCATTTCTGCAACTCCTTCTCAACAAAATACAGACAATCATAAAAAAAAATACAAAAATCAATACTTCAATTTCCAGAAAAATCGAGTTCACAACAATTGGTATACAGAGCGGTCGATCCTCGGAAGATGGCCGATGAATTCATGCTCGATTGTTTGGAGCTGCAACAAAAACATATGGAGCAAAAATTAATGGTGGAAATCCAAAAAAGAGAGGTTAGCCATTCGAAGATACAAAGCCAAATTGATGGGTTCAAATCATTAAATCAAAAATTGGATCAAGCCATTCAGGTAGCTGAATCCATTCAACAACTTATTTTCAATCTTCAAAACAAAAATCAGAAAAAAGCAAAACCAACCCAAATCCTGAATCTCCCAGCTCAATCGTACCCAACACAAAACCTTGCCCAATTAACCTCCACTCAAAACCCTCCAAACTCTCAGCCATATTTTCATGAAATTCAGGAGAAAAATCCAAGACCAACTTCAAGTGAAAATCAACAACAAAACACCACAACCCAAAAACCAAACAATCTAGAATCACATCCCATTTTTCATGAAATTCATGAGGAAAAAACTGAAGAACATGGAAGCTCAGTGTTGATTGAAAAACCGATCGAAATTTCAAAGCAAAAGCCAATACGTGTGGCTGTGAGCGAGCATACATACCTGGAAACGATACCACATGTCGATGAATTTGTTGAGGTCTTAGATATGGCTGCAGTGGATAACCAAACACCGAAAGATGGAGAGCCCGATGAAGTACTCGATCTTCCTGGTGAAGGTGAACTGGAGCTCCTGGGACTGTTCCAAGTGAGAACGGTAACGTTGAGATGGACGTCCTTCGTGATAGATCGTGGAAGACGAGCACGAGGTGAGGGCTGTGTGGAGAAGACGAGGGGCGGCAGCCTCAAAAAGGCTTGGTCTCGCCGGCCTCCAAAACATGTCGGTAGGCGTAGATCTCGTTACCGACGGTCCGATACTGAGAAGAGTCACAACGGAGGTCGAGAGAAGGCTCGGATCCATCAAATTTCCAGGCGTGGTAGGCGGTCGGAAGCTTGGGCTCGCCGGATTTGGAAACACGGTGGTGGATCGGGAATTCAAACTGAAATCATGAGAGAGGTCTGCAGCTACGGAGGTGCCCAGAAACACGCCAGTCGGTTAGAAGCTTGTTGTCGCCGGATAGATGAGGAACGTGGGACGTCGGCGCTGGATTTCGAACCTCGGTTGGGCAAATTTTCTACCCTAGCCATGGATGACTCTGCAGTACGAAAGAAGGTTCGCGATTCCTACATCGAGACTCGATCTGGAAGGAGATCGAGTCGTCGGTGGTCCTTGGGGTGTAGCCGCGATGCGGTGACGACGACGAGGAGACGTGGGATGAAGGAGCGGACCAGATCGATTCCATACGCCATCACCACGATTGTCGAGGAGAAGCAGAACGGGCCACCGAGCTTGGAGGAGAGAGGTGGGCGTTCTGACGCGTGGTCTCGGCGAATTTCTCCGAGGTATGATGGCCGGAGAAGACGATCGGAGCATCGTCGAATTTCTGATGGTGGAGAGGAAAATGACCGAAGCTTCGAGAATAGGAGAAGGTTGGAGATGGGCTATGATTCTTTTGGTGGGCCGAGTGCGGTGAGCGTGGCGTACACGTGGTCACGGAGAATTGCTTGGCGGTGTGATGGCCGGAGACCGGAGCTGAGAAGGATATTGGATTTCTGGGGAAGAGTGGTCGATGAAAGAAGCTTCGAGAATTGGATTTTGGTGGGGCTGCATCTGAATTTGGGTTGGAGCGTCATTGATTTTTTAATTGAGTGTTGGGCTGCCTTGAGAAAAATTGAATTGGGCCAAGAAGGAAAGGTGGTTGGGCTTTGGGCTGACAAGGGTGATGATTTAGGTTGGTTCATTTTATTTGCTGCCCTGATGGACGTGGACTGGGCCGGATCACAATTGGTTTGGGCTATTAACATTTGGAGCGGCCAATTTAGTATGCTTGTATGTTGGGTCGTACAAGTTCTTCTCATGCGCTTCATGGAATGCCGAGATTTTCAGCATATGAGTCTCGGGGACGAGACTCTTTCGAGAAGGGAGTATTGTCATGTACCCGATTATGGAGATGAATCGGGTAGGGTGAAGTGAAGGGCCTCTGCTTTATATATATCCGGGCTTAGTTAATATTATGTTACTTTAGGTTTATTAGTAGTTTTATTTTGGGCTTTGTTATTAGTAGATGTAATTGGGCCTATTATGAGATGTAGTAGTTACTAAGTGGGTTGATGTTATTAGGTTTAATTAGAACCCATGAGTGGTTATTAATAGGGTGAAAATAGGGGAAATGAGGTAAGATTTGGATGTCAAAAATTCTCTCTCACTCTCTCAATTTCTCTCTCCTCCCCTCACGTGTTCTATCCTTTCTCCCTCCCCTGCAACTCCTTCTCAACAAAATACAGACAATCATAAAAAAAAATACAAAAATCAATACTTCAATTTCCAGAAAAATCGAGTTCACAACATAGGGTCGGCCGATGATTGAGGAGCGGTTTGATAGCCAAAATACTCATCTATAAAAACATATAGGCATTTGAGAAAATCAGAAAACTCAACTTTAACATGACAACAATAGGTATAAGGTTTTGACCTACGGAAAGATTATCTTAGTTGTCATCGTAATTTTTTGATTTTGTATTTTTTAAATTTCAATCTCATACCCTTTATTATTTTAATTAGAAATTGATACAAAAATTAGAAACTAATTAATCTCACCAACAACTAGTATGTATTTGGTTATTAAAAGTCTAAACCATACTATATATATATTCAATTTTTTATCAATAAAAAATATTCTAGAAATTAGATTATATATTATGCATATCAAATGATAAATTTAATCTAGTGAAAATTTTTGTAAATGTTTTATTAAAATTTATACAAATACTTTAAAATAATTTATCAACATTATATTAAAAGATTGGTAATAGATCCAAACAAAGTTTCTCAAATAAATTCTAAATTAAAATGAGAATAAAAATTTTGGACTTATTGCAAAATTATGTATTCCAATATTTTTCACGTGTACAAATTATCACTTTATAATAATTTGTTATAGTTTTTCTTTTCTTAATTTGAATATAAAATAATATTGGCCTTAATTTGTAAAGTTCTTAAATATGAGGATGTTATTGAAAGGTCATAAAAGTTAATGTAAAAGAGAATTTTTCGAGGATATTCTTTTGGGCTCGGGAATGCTTCTATCGGTTGGAGAAGAAAAGAAAACACTAACATTAAATAACAACAACATTACTAATACAGATTGAAATAACATTAATACATGATAGATCACGATTTTTTAAAAAAAATATTTAAATAACTAGTGCTGAAATAAAATATAACATCGCACGATACTAAAAATAAAAATACATCATAAACAAGTATGGGAATTTAGTAATCTGACAAGTTGACACCGATTCCTTCAAGATCATTGAAAAATTGGTCAAATGCATTGGTTGAAAATGGATCCGATTGGGCTTGTTGAACTCTTATTTCAAAGATTCGTGCTTTTTCAGCTTCAATGTTGTTCGAACTCTAGGATCTTCTACAGAACTGAAATCTTGAAACACAATTTTATTTTCAATGTTGACTTGGCTTGATGTTTGCAGCCCTATTCGAACCTGTCAAAAAGCATATCGGTTCCAAACTCGAAGTGATCTGGTTAGAACCTTACTTGAATATAGATCCGACCGGTACTGCAACCCATTTAATTTATTTTTTTATTGTTTTGACTTTTAATTACATTTATTTTAAATTAAAATATGTGTATACGTTTATGTGGTAAGAACTTATGCAGAGACAATAATAATATGGGAAAAAAACTTGTACCCATCTGAACTATTGCGATTTTGGCGCATTACCATATAAACTTTTTTTTCTCACAAACCACTATCTTAACTATGTGGGTTTGCCACTTTACCATCTGAAACCAGGATTAAAGCGGTTTTTGTAAAAAAATAGTTGTTTTATAAGGGTGTTTTAGAAATTTCGTATATTTACTTATTTTTTAATAAAAAAAAGAGACAAATGAACTGATTTTGACAAAAAGAGGGCCTTTTTCTTCATAATTTTCTTCTCCGTCAAGTTCTTGAACTTCCATCTTCATGACCGTAAAAAAAACATCCATCTTCACTTGGGCCCTCCTTCGCCATCTTCATAGCCGTCAAATAAACTTCCATCTTCTTCTTTTTTTTTTCTATCAAATTCTTAAATTCATACCGCACCGAATAGACGAGCAGCAGCACCGCCGCAGAATAGCCGGCATCCCTCTGGAGCCTCCTCAATTTTCGTGCAGCTCAGCATGCTCGCCATCATCGTGTCCCTTGAGAGAGAGAGAGAGAGAGAGAGCCTGGGACAGTGAAAGGAGAAAGTTGAGAACTTGTGGAGCAAAAAATATCAGAAGTGTTTTACTGAAAAAGAATCATAGGTTGTAATAGATTTTAGTTAGAAACTGGACAGCCTTTTATAACTGGAATAAAAATATATAAATGCATGTATATTAAAAAAAATTGGAGGAAAAACGCAAATTAAAGCATGAACAAACATTTTTTCTCTCCTCTTAATAACCACCCCACTATACACTCAGTGCATTGAATCAGACTATAGGATCTCATGTTTCTAATATCCTGACTGATGGGTCCTAAATTTTGTTTGTTACCTCTAAATTTAACATAATTTGATAGAAAAGAAAAAAAAAAGCTCTTTCAAATGGTAACCCTTCAGGGTATTTGTGATTTTGAGAAAACTGGCTTTTTATTTGGGTAGCAAAAATAAATTTCTAGAGCAATGTTTGTTCTAATGAAATGATGCCATTGTTATCCCAGCAAAGTAAGTATATGTGTCCCCAACAAAAACGGAAGAAGGATACCTATTAAAACACATAAGAAATCACATGTTGAAGCACACCTTGGTGTGTGCACGCGTCAGCCGTTTCCACCGCAAATGAGAGGCGGCGATGGAGGTTGCCAGCGGCGTAGCCGAGTACGTTTTCGACAGCCACGAAAAAGGCGAAGGAGGGCCCAACGGGACCGTGGTTGACGTTGTTTGAGATGTCGAGCATCCAAGAGCCGGCCAAGAAAATGGTCGGTTGTCGCCGGAGAGGCAGGCATGAAGAATCCATGACGTACAAGCTCTCAAAAATTGAGGAGGGATCACACATGAAGCTAGTACCAGCAGGCTACATGACTTTCTCATATAAAAGCACGTTTTCTATTTGCTTCATTTTTTAAAAACAAAATACATGCAAAATTCATAAAATGTCCTCGAAAATCAACTATTTTAGGTCAAAACCACTTTATATCCGGTTTAGGGGCAAGATGAAAAAAACATGAATGTTTGTATGGTTGTTTGTCAAAAAAAATAGTTGATATGGTAAGGCGCAAAAATCGCGATAGTTCGGATGGGAAAAAGTAATTTACCCTAATAATATTAACACTTTGAAGCTTAGAATCCATATCTATATTCATATAAAAAGGTTGTTGGAAAATTACATTTATAATAAGTTTGACAAAAAAATTAAGGTTTGACTTACTATTATTGGTAATTTCGAAAAAACACGTGTAAATCTTTAAGAATCAAACTAGTTACGACCCGTGCGGTGCACGGGATGATATAGTTTTTTGAATATTTAATGTGTAATAATAAAATTAATAGAGTCTTTTATATATTTAAAAATAGTAAACTGGGCGCAAAAATGTAAAAAATCAAATGTTATTGAACATTTCTTTGTACACAACGTTTTTTCGTTTGATTAGTTGGCGAGTTTAAATATTTTCACACCACTTCAATTGGTGATACGGAAGACAACAATATATAACTAGTCATGATTGAAAATCAGTTTCTTAATTTACAACTATATACAACGTGTGATTATATGTTTTTTAAATTTATCTTTTGTTGGGAATTAATATGCATAGACTCCATGTTGTGTAGGGCATCTTTCTGTGTATGTATCGAAGAGCATCTTCCTAATGATATGTATGTAGGGAAGATGCTTGTACAAAATAAGATATTATTGGCCTTGTTTGTCGATTATCGGATAGCGGATAGCGGATAGCGGATTGTATTAGCAGTTTTTAAATAAGTGTTTGGTAAATAGTTGGAAGCTTATAGCTGTTTGACATTGCAAAATGACCAATAAAGATATTTTATTATTTAGGGTGTATTTTTTTAATAATAATATATTAAAACATTTAAATTTACTAACACTTGATGAACAAGTTATGAATTTTTACATTTTTCTAGATAGATTAATCAAATGGATGGCATATTATTATTTATTAGCACCATAAACCAATGTATATTGTAAAATAAATAATACAAATTAAAAAGTTCCAAGTAAATAATTTTTTAGTAAATCCTCTATCCCAAAAACGCTACTCTAATGAGCTTTTTCTAAATTAGAGTTTTGGGCCCAAAAAGCTTATCAAATAATCTTATTTTTTATTTAAAATATATTTATTCTTTTCTAAAATTAAATAGAATAATTAATTATTATGCAGTTAAAATAATGCCCGTGAACAACATGGGTGCATTAAAATAAAAATAAAATATTTTTTTATCAAAATAAATAAGTAAAGAAATTTATATTCATATAATATAATAATAAAAAATTAAGTATAAAATTAATTATTTAAAAATTCATAAAGTTAATGATTTAAAATAANTTTAAGTTGAGACATAAATTTTAAAATATTTTTTATAATTATTTTATGTTCAATACTTAATTTATATATTTTTTTTTCAATTAAAATAAAAATTTTTTGATATGTTAATATAAATCTGTTTCTATTGCTCTATAAGATAATTCGTAGTTTTTCTTATATTTTTTTAATTTAGTTTGATAAATCAATTTAAAATTTATTTATAAAGATATATTCAGTTTTTGTATTATACATATGTAATATGGATGTCAAATCAAAGATCGTTAAAAAATAATTAATTTGTTACATCTTATACAAAAAATAAAATACAAGTAAAAAAGTTATAAAATTTATAAAATAAGAATAAAACACATTTATGATAGTTGGTTTATGCAATCTATATATATAATTAGTAGCTAATACCATTTAAGAAAATCTATTTAATAAACCTCTAAAATTTTTCCTCCATTTTCGGTTACAAAATTTATATTTAATGGTTTTTACTTCTCACAATAATACATCTTATTGAGTGTAATCATGTATTTTTCTGTTATATTATAGAATAATTAATACTAATACCAACTAATAATAATTCACAATAAATATAAATTGCATAATTATAAAAAATTGTTTCAAGTTATTTATTTTAACATCAATATTATCTTTTTCTTTTATATCTCATGAAAAAATTTCTTTAAAAACAATTAGTAAATTATTTTAATAGCATAATCAAACAACTTTAGAATCTTATAAACAATTATTTTTGTAATAATAATAATAATAATAATAATAATCAAACTGCTATTATCTAATGATAATAAACAAATGTTTATAATAATAAACAATCATTAATTTATATTTTGTATTATGAACCGAGATGATTTTGTATTTTTTTGTATGAGTTTCTGTATTTTTTTGTAGATAGATTAGGGAGATGAGAGTTGGGGAGAGAGATAGATACAGAGAGATACTGATAGAGGGAGAATAGAGGAGAGAGAAAATGCAATAGATTATGCTCATCAACGTGCTATTTCATTCCTCAAAATACTTTTTAAGTAACAAACATGC